AGAATCTTAAAGAAAAAGAAATCCTCAGGGCAGGCGAGCTGGTAATCTTGGCAGTGCCTTGAGGAGGTGAATGGTGGGAAGAATTTAAAAAATAATGATTAAAAAAATAATAATTAGTAGATGTGAAAAACATTACCATTGAAATCTACCTGATAGCTTTATATCCATGCTCAGATGTCAAGGAGCTCAGAAAGTAACCAACTGTCCCTAGTAATAATCAGATATACAGAGATTAGAAATGCATGTGCAAACATCTTAGTGTCAATTGCATTAAAAACGCATTTTTCTGTATGATACTATGTATTTTAATAATGAAATGGACATCTTTTTTAAAGGTTAAAACCTCATTTAATTTTATGTCTTATAGGGTTTATACTGAGTACAATATTGTATAACTGTAATAATTCAACTGTAAACCTAAAAATTTACAGCCAATTTTGAAAAAGATGCATCTTAGCTCAGAAAATTGTTATTTAATGTGTCAGTGCTGTTGTAATGAAATGATTCTTTTAAGTATGTGGTTATTAAATAAATAATTAACTGGGGAAAAAAAGAGTAAGAAATTAAAATTTGCAGCTGTGTGTGGTGGCACACACTTTTAATCCCAGTACTCTGGAGGCAGAGGCTGGTGGACCTCTGTGAGCTTGAGGTCAGCCCAGTCTACAAAATGAGTTCCAGGCTATCTAGTGTTATATAGTAAGACCTTGTCTTTAAAGGAAAGAAGGAAGGGAGGGAGGGAGGGAGGGAGGGAAGGAAGAAAGGAAGGAAAGAAACTTCAATTTGCATCGTGAATTATATAGTAAAAATATAGTAAATTATATAGTAAAGTCTCAAATTGGATTTGAATATTAAAAATTATATTCTGCCTTTATGCAATATATAAAAGTTTGTGGAAGGATTTTTTTTGCAGGTATAATAAAAATATTTCCTGTCCAAAAAAAAAAAAAGAATTCAATGTTCTTAAAAAATATAACTTAAGCCAGGCGTGGTAATTATATAGTAAAAATATAGTAAATTATATAGTAAAGTCTCAAATTGGATTTGAATATTAAAAATTATATTCTGCCTTTATGCAATATATAAAAGTTTGTGGAAGGATTTTTTTTGCAGGTATAATAAAAATATTTCCTGTCCAAAAAAAAAAAAAGAATTCAATGTTCTTAAAAAATATAACTTAAGCCAGGCGTGGTAATGCACGCCTTTAATCCCAGCACTTGGGAGGCAGAGGTAGGTGGATCTCTATGAGTTCAAGGCCAGCCTGCTCTACATAGTGAGTTCCAGGACAGCTGGGGCTACAGGGAGACCGTCTCAAAAATTTTTTTTTGACTTGAGCATGCATATTCCTATACATTTGCATATATGCTTTTGTTATTTTGGGGGGGATCTTACTATGTAGCTTAGGTTGGCCTTATATTCACAGTCCTTCTGCCTCAGCCTAAGTGCTGAAGTTTCAGGCATATACCACCATACTTGGCTTACAAATATTCTCTAAAGTATATTTAAAAAGTAAAATTTGTGGGAGGAATGTAAGTAGGAAAATGGTTCCATGGGTAACGTGCCTGCTGTTTCCAAGTATGAGGAACTGAGTTCAACTCCCCAGCACCTATGTGAAAGCCAGGTGTGACCTCTCAAGCTATGTGTATTTGGCTAGGTTTACTGTATCACATGTGAGTTTCCTCCCACTGATTGAGCTTCAAGTACAATTAAGTAGCTGTTGATTACCCCCAAGATAAAAATGCCACTACTGTACCAATGTCATTTGCTGTCCCATTCATTGATGTGGTTTTTTGGTCTTGAAGCTGGGGTTGGACCATCTTTGATTGATATTCTCCCTTGCCAGCTTATGTAGTGGTCTCCAAAGCTATGAGAGCTAGCCTTCAGGGGAGGTGGCTTCCAGGTCAGTTCTAGTTCCATTGCTCCAAAACCTGTATCTGAAGTATGCCCTATATTCAGCAATAGGGTTTTACCTTAAAGTTCTAGGAGGCAATCAAGCTGTGGCTATAGCCTGTATAATTTTGGCCAAGGCTGTCACATCCCTAGACAAATGTAATTTCTTAGTATTTGCAAAATATGGATCCTTAAATTTACAGACAAGTATCCCAGTCACTATGCATTAAAGAAGCTTCTTTTTCAACAGACAGAGATTATTACAGAGTTCCACAACTGGTCATACACAGAGATTGTCTGTGAACTGACCAAGCCTAAGTGGCACATCTAGGATGCAACCTCTACACCAAAGGCTCACGGAACATAGAACAAGAGATGAAGAGAACACTAATGCATCTTTTAATTCTCATCAATGAAGCTTCCTCATGCAGCGGAGGACAGGAACACAAAAGGTCACAAATAACCAAAACGTGGAAATAAGAGTCTACAGAGTGTGGGTCCTTGGACAGGAATCCCACCCAGAGCTCAGGGACCATTGTGGAAGAGAGAGTAGAAAAATTGTAAGAGGCAGAGAGGAGGTGCATGACCATATGCAAATAGTCCTACAGTCTCCTAAGACCCTTCTCATATGAACCTTCAGCAATGGTGTCAGCATATACAAGACCCATGCAAACTTAGACAAAAACCCAGCACAGAACTTTGGAAATGGACAAAAGGCCCCCATCTTAGTCAAATAATTTTTGGTAGCTGATTACTTCTGGGTGAGGAATTGCTGATCTTCTTAAAGGGAGAAACTCTAGATAGGCTGACTAGACCTCAGTGGATGAACTTGCACTGAGGGACATCTGAGGACACTAACTTGATATGATAGGCCTTAACACAAATGACAGGATGTATGAATTCCAGTGATGGGGAAGCTGTAGGATGGAGCCAATGGGGAAAGGGATGTCAAGATGATTAAGATATTCTGTATGAAATACACAAAAATTCAGTAAAATTTTTTTATAAAAGCCAAACCCCCCCTGCCCCCAAAAACAAAACTTTTGGTCAGTGAGGTAGCTCAGTGTGGAAATGAACTTGCCACAAGACAGATGACCTGAATTTAATCCCCAGGGCTCACAAGTGGAAGAAGAGAGCAGGTTTCTGCAAGCTGTCCTCTGACTGTCACTTGGATGACATGGCACACATACACACTAAATACATAAATAAATAAAATATAATTAAAAATAAAATGCAAATGTTTATTTTCAGAGAAAATCCCTCTGGCTATATATACAGATGTTTTCTGTCCTACGAGAATTCAACTTAGGATTTCTCAAACTTTTAGCTTTAAAATGATATGAAAGTGATGTACATTCAGTGAAGATTATGCTTTGAATGTTGGCCTTTTCCTGGTCTAGTGATACCACTATAGTACAGTCCTTGCTATAATGGTGAACAGTAGCAGTGAGCACAGCTCAGCTGGCCATGTGACCACGGGAGTATACCTCTGAGGCTGCGTTCTGTACAGTGTACTGAAATCCATGAATTACAGGAGACATGCAACAGTTGACTATAAAACAGGCTCATATTAGATGGTTTTTCCCAATTATAGGCTAATATCAGTTCTGAGTAAGTTTAGGATAGGCCAGGCTAAGCTGTGATGTTCTGTAGGTTAAGATTATTAAATATATTTGCCTTATGGTATTTTCAACTCATAATAGGCCTATTAGCATGGTTAACAGGAGGAGTATCTGTATCTACACTTGAGGCTTCTCACACTGCATTTTTACTTTGAATGTTCAGTGATCAGTTTACTTCCTATTTGAAGGTGAAGACACAATCAGTGGTGTTCACATCATTTTATGATCTTGGTTGAGACTGTTGATCAGCATGAGCAACACTGAGAACTATCCAAGTTTGTTATTTCCTGAATGTCGGTAGTCTTATAAAGTGCTATGAAAACTATACAACCATTTATTTATTATTAGCACTTTTCTTAATCTTTACATTTGTGCAACACTAAGTAACGTGATTGTACCTAAATTGAATTGCTAAAGCAAAAATGATCAGTTCTTGATACATAGGAGTAAGGATGTTGATTTTCACTGTAACATGGGCTAACATTTGGAAGAGAGTCGAGATTGCTAGATTCATGTTAACTATTTAATTTTCATTCAGTCTTCTTTAATAACTTAATGCTCCAGGATGCTTTCCTTCAATGCTGGATTTGTGCATATTTCTCTATAGTTTCTCATCCTCCCGGTCCATTTGTGATTGAAGATTGTTTAGTGTTAGGCACAATATCTTAATAACTTTTCAAGTGAAAATAATAAGTATCCTGTCTCTGCTTAATAATGAAAAATTAAATTTCAAACAGAAATGTCCAGCCTATGGAAATTATACTGGAAAACAATCATACAGATTATTACCTATGCATATTAAAATTAGAAACTTGTGTCAGCGAGGTGGGTCAGAGTTAAGTAAAGGTTTTTGTGGCCAAACCTGATGATCTGAGTTCAGCCCTGGAGCCCACATGGTGGAAGGAGGGAACTGAGTCCCTAAGGTTGTTCTCTGACTTACATACGTACACCCACACCCATATACACCCCCCACAGGCATGCATGTACCCCCATACTCAGACATGCATGCAACATAAACAAGAAAAAATTTTAAAAATTAAAAATTTGAGTACTTTGTAGAAACACATTAAACTATACTAGAATTATATAGAAGATGGTTAACTTTCTGTTTACACTTGTTACAACTGTCAATTATAAATTCATGTGATGGTGACTGGAGAAGAAAATACAGAAATGAGACATTTAGTGATGAGATTATGGGTATTTTTCTCTTTAAATTTTATTTTTATATAAACTTAAAGATGGACACAAAAGAACCCAAAATCCACGTGGGTTTTATCAGCCCAGGATTTTCTATTTTTAAGCTGAATTGGTCAGTGCACAACACTCAAATATTACATCCTGTTACTTCAAAAGCTGAGTTCTGTTTATTGTGATTGTGGAAATCAGTGTGGAACCTTGGGCTTTGGAAAGGTTTTCCTTTGTATCCACGGAGCGGGTGTGTGGTGGCGGCTGTTTCACTCTTCTTCCCTTTTCTTTTCCTTTTTGCAGTCCACATACTTTTAACTGGCCAAGAGCTGTCTGCTCTTTACTGTTGGAATTCGGAGCTGCATGAGTTCTCTTTTGTTCTGGAAGCACCTGCTGCTCATGATGCTGCTTTTGTCACAGTGAAGTCACTTAATTCAAGCAAGAATTTAATTGCCTTAGTGGGAGCTATTCACTCTCATTTGTATGAGCTGACCTACATCTCCAGCCAGTCTGACTTTGTTCCCAGGTAGGTTCAGTATTTTATGTTTAGCATTTTTATTCTAGCCACAACTTAGCATTTCTCTGTCTCAGTGACTGTCTTGTATAAAATATAGGATCTATTAATAAGCCAGAAGTTTGTGTTTGTAGATATAACTGTAGTCCTAGCCATAATGAAAGCTTACAAGCAGCCAAGTGAAGGCTCAGCTTATGGGTATATTTTTAGTATCTAGTCTACCAAGTTCATCAGTATTATATAAATATTTTGTATTAAATTTTATTTATGGAATATTTTATCCTTCTAAAACTTCAGTAGTATTCTGTGTAATGAGAATTTCATGCTGACCTACTGTGCCTGTCATTTATTGGCTGTTGTTGACTTATGTGTACTTCCTGTGCTAGTTCAGGTGAATTGATATTTGAACCTGGTGACAGAGAAGCCACAATAGCAGTGACCATCCTTGATGATACAGTTCCAGAAGAAGAAGAATCCTTCAGAGTTCAGCTGAAAAATCCCAAAGGAGGAGCAGAGATTGGTGTTAATGGTTATGTGAGAGTCACTATTCTGTCTAATGATGATGCCTATGGAGTTGTAGCATTTGCCCAGGTAACAAGAGTGAAGATTCTACACTTATAAGTCAAAATTGTGTGTTCATTGTATTTACAAATTATTTCTAATAAGCACTCAATGAACTATACTTACCCTACCTTCAGTCTTGTCCCTTCTCTTACCACTGCCCCATCTCCTACTCTACATTCTAACGTGAATTCTACTGACATTGAAATTTATAAACTTAAACACTGGATTCTCTGGGACACTTTGTCCTAGTTATTTTTATTTGTTTGTGAAGTTGGAGTTATATACAGGTAGTTGTGAGCCTCCTGACATGAGCACTGGGAACTGAACTCAAGTCCTCTGGAAGAGCAGTATAGATTCTTAACTGCTAAGCTATCTTTCTAGTTTATTTTTATTTGTTTGCTTGCTATTATTTATTTATTTATTTATTTATTTATTTATTATTTATTTTTGTGTGTGTGTGTGTGTGTGTTGTGAGCGCATTGCCTGCACCCGTGTTGTACAGTGCCTGCAGAGGTCAGAAGAGGGCATCAGTTTCCCCTGGAACTGGAGTTACAGATGGTTGTTAACCACCATCTGTGTGCTGAGAACTGAACCTGGGTTCTCTGCAAGAGCAGCCAGTGCTCTTAACTCCCGAGCTATCTCTCTAGCTCCTTTGTTTACTTGTTCTTTTTATAGCATTGAATATAAAATATTACTGCTTGGTCTTTTCCAGTAGTTTGCCTCTGCTGTTAGCCTTTAAAAAATGGCAATGAAGCCGGGCGTGGTGGTGCACGCCTTTAATCCCAGCACTCGGGAGGTAGAGCAGGCGGATCTCTGAGTTCAAGGTCAGCCTGGTCTACATAGTGAGTTCCAGGACAGCTGGGGCTACAGGGAGACCGTGTCTCAAAAAGACAAAACAAACAAACAAACAAACAAACAAAAAAACCAAAGGCAATGATGGAACAGATTCTAGACTCACTACACTCTATGGCATACACACCACCTACAAATACAGCATCATTTGGAAGAGGAATGGGGCGGGAGCTTATAACTGTGTGCACTGTGCACATTTAGATACTTCTGCCTCAAGAAAAGAACCATGCAGATATTCTCAGGTCCACCCTTATGCCCAGACTTCCTGTTCCTTTACCAGTGAGCAAAAATGTAAACATTCATATTTATTGGGTCATTTATTCCTATTTGCAAAGTACATTCTGATGTCTTAACCAGTTAAATCTAGAGCTATTCTACATCCTTTTATGAAATCTTTTGTATATAAGAAAAACCTAGTTCAACTAGGCTTATACACTAAGGGTGCATCCACAGAGAAGGTGGACTTTAGGTTCGTGGGTTGGTTGCATATCACCCCATGTCACTATGGCTCAGAGCCTTTCCATCTCCTCACACTGCCTCTAGAAAGCCGAGCCTCCATTTGCTTGCTTGAGAGCTTTTGTTATTGTTAGGGTTATTTAATATGTGGAACCCACTTGGTGGAAGGAGAGAACTGACTCCCCAAGGTCATACACACGCGCGCACACACACACACACACACACACACACACACACACACACAGAGAGGGGGGTGTCCCCCCATGCCCCCATAGAGGTG